GAGTTATGCACAGGTTCAGGGCCGTGGTGATTCACAATGGAACCCAGTTCCTGAAGAATCCTTCTGGGGTATGCCCACATGGATAGTCGAAGCCTGTACTTTATATACAGGCCAGCATTATAAACAGGTTATCCTGTATTTCTGAATGTTTTGGTGTAAAAAAATGGGGCTATGTTTGGAATATATTCACTTCATAATGTAAATTGATCTAGTGGCCTATTTGATAAAAGCATAGTTTTCTGCTCAGAGGGGAATGAAAAGGATACTGAGGAAGCTGAAGATTTTGCTCTCCCACATGGTCACTATATTGAAGAAGCACTTCACAAAATATGTTTGCTAATGTTGAAAATCTCATTGTCTCCACCTGGAAAAGCCTAGGCTTAGTGTAGGTTGACACTCCTCTGTCTCATCACACACCTTTGGGGAGGAAGACTTCAGAAGAAGGTGACAAAACCCTATTCCGGAACTCCTAGCACCTCTAAATGCATAGCACCTTCACTCTATATACCCAGGCTACAACTTCAAAACCAAAGTTCAGCCTTTCTTTCAGTGCAAGTCCACCAAACCCTCTTCACAATAAAATGGTACCCTCACTCCTATGAGTGTGGGTACATCTGTTGCAGTTTGCATCTGTCTGGGTCCCAGACCTGTGGGTTCAATTCTTGGTTTCAAAAGTGTACAATATAGAGTTTTGAATTCTACTACCTCACCACATCTTTCTTTCAAATCAAAAGACAGATTTGCAAAATATATATATGTTCTAGTACTACCACAGAACAGCTTCTTGATTGGAAGGTGTTCAAATCAAACCTGTTCACAGTGACCAAAGCCCAACAAGGTATCCTTCCTATCCTGGACTTACAATCCCTCAATAAATTAATTCACATGCCAAAGTTTTGCATGGAACGTGCAGGGACAGTAATTGCCCCTCTCAGACAAGAGGAGCACATGACATATGTGGACACCCCAAGATGCTTATCTGCATTTTGCCATTTACTCAGCTCCTCAATGTTTCCTACACTTTGCAATGGCAGATAACCACTTTTCAGTTTGTCACCTTGCCTTTTGGCCTGTCTTCTGCTCTCAAGGTGTTCACAAAAAATCCTTGCACCCTTGCTTGACCTTCTCAAAACTCAGGGCAGCCAGGTAACATTCTATCTAAACAACTTTCTGCTGAAGAATTCATCTCCATTACAACTCTCAGCAAATATCCAAATTACAATTCAGTTGCTTCAGGTCTTTGGCTGGGTGATCAACTTCAAATCTACTCTCTAGCCCTCTTTCCTCTTAGAATACTTGGGTCTGATCCTGGTAAGGTGCCAGGTATAGGTTTTATTTTTTTCAGAAAATAAAGCTCTCTCTTAAGAGCTCATGCTCTACAATTGAGATCCAAAAGAGATCCCCCAGTGAGATTTACCATGAGAGTTCTGGGCCTAAAAGCAGCCTCCTTTCAAGACAGCACCCTTTGCCCAAATCCATTCAAGAACTATCCAACTAAATATTCTGTCAGCATGAAAATAGCATTGTCCTGGGTCTACCCATGCTCCTAGCAGCTCACGGAAGGGAGTCCTCATGCTGATAGACCACAACCCCCCACTGTAACAGTGTGAAAATCTTTCCACTGTATATCTTCCTTTTGAATATAGCTTAGACCTTATTCAATTGGCACTGCATTAAGGGTATTGACAGATTTAAACTATAAAAAAAAAGTTGCAGCTCACAGGATAAGAATGGGAAGATTCAGGTGTGTAAAATGATCCTGTTAGATGGGACATTTAAACTGGTATTAAACATAAATCCAAGAATGTAATATATTGCAGCATGCCAATTATTAGATGTGATGACTACATTGGTTTTCTTTTAGGCCATTTTCCCCTGGTGATCTTGTAAGTAACACAACTCCTGCACAAGCGTGCCCCTACTCTGGATGAAGGGGTACCCTCTGTCAGGCTGGGAGAGGGTAGTGCTAAATGTAGGAGCGGATTTAAATACACTAACAAATTGAAGCCAAACTCCAGCTAATACTTTAGAAGCAGATTTTCCCTTTGGGAATAGGGTTTTAATATAAGTAAGAGTTGATCATTGCATACACCCCTGCTAGTGTTTAAATTATTTGTCTCATGTCTGTAACTAATGAATTCTGCTGAGAGCATTTTCTTTAAAATAAAAGAACACAGACTTACTGGCTAGCTCACTAGCTGAAAGGGGAGCCTAAAAAAAAACCAAACAAATACAGCTATACCACCTAAAGAAAGAAATAGTAAGCTGCAATATAATGAATGATTACTTTTGTGTTTAATAAATCTTTATTATGTTGCACTTAAAAATCATTTTCAAGATGTAATCCCTTCTGTTGGTTTGTATAATCAGTTTTTTGTGGTAGTGCCCCTAGCGGTGAAAACTGTATTTCCTGTCCCTGATGAGTAAAGTCAGGCTTGCATGCTGTCCTGGAATAACAACTAGGGGAAATGTCTTTTTACCCCTGTTCTGTGTACAGTAAGTATTGTAATCTTTATTTGACAGTACTACACATAGCATCTTTCTGACATCAACATACTACAAAGAATATATGGAATGGTGTAGGATATTTATAAAGCAGAGATTGTGATATTTGCTAAACACTCAGTACAGGAGAATGTTTTGTTAATGTAATATTCACCACTTTATAAGAACCCAAATAGCAGAGGAAAGAAAAATGTAATATATTTTTATATACTGTATTTTGAAAAATGTAGGAAGATTTGCATCCTCAGAGTGTAAAGCATTAAAGCTATACTCAAGCACTTAAACAACCCCCCCCCCCAAAAAAAATACAGCCTCCCCATACAAACAAATACACATCAGGGGGTACCTATGCACAAAACCATTGATTGCAAATACACATTATATATGGTGAAGCGAGCAATACTTCTGTTGCCTATGGAAACTATAGGGTACTGTTGCCTGTTGCAGTTTCATGATAGTACACCAGTTTAAGCCTTGGCATGTTTGGTATCATTTACTTGGACCACCTCATCTTTTATATTTACCTAAAACTAGGTAATATTGCATTTGTGTGTCCTAAAAAATTAACTTTAGTACTGAAATGGTGTTACATCCAATATTGTGATAAATTAAACTACCACCATTTTATTCTCTATGGTGTCTGCTTTCATGGTTGAAGGTTTAAACAAATCTTCAGACCTAAAATTATTTTTTTTTTTAAATGTGTGTGCAAAAAAAAGACTGGCAGCAAAAGAGGTAAAGCTGAACCCCAGGAAAATAAAAAAAGTACTCCCTTCCATTTTACTCACATGGCAAGTGGTAAATGCTTGTTTATGGCTGGGGGGGGGGGGGGGGGGTAAGGTAAGTAAGGTAAAAGCACTTGCCTCATCCTCCACTCTGCCAGTGGACTGTCTGCCAATATCCTTAAGCCCAATGCAGGGCTTTAGTCCACACTTTGATATTGGTCTGTTGGAGGACAAGAGACAGCCAGGGTACAGTGGAAGACTGTAGGGACGGTCTAGCAGTGCAGGAGCCTACAGGAGTGGGAGGCTAAGTAAAAACAGTTTTTTCCCCTGTCCCTCTAGACAGAGATTAACCCTTGCAGTGCAGGTACAGCTTTAAATCTGTCAGCCCTGGTTCACACTGATGCAACTTCACATCACATGACAAATTGCATCAAATCATCAGCAATGGAACTGATCTAATTGGTGTAACTCTGACTTGACTTCAGAGTCACACCAGTTTGAAAAGTAGTTCCTGTACTACTTTTGTCGATTTCAGGTGCAACTTGCATAGACATCTGTGCATGACATCACACAGATGTCTGCAAGTCTCATTGACATGCAATTTAGTAATTGTGCAACTCCACTTGAAGTTGCATGATTTCAAATTTACATGCAGTGTGAAGGGAGGCTCAATGTTTTTATGCAGGCTTGTCCCCCCTCCCTCCATAGACTGCTTGAGTTTTTACACTAGGCCCTGCAAGTACCTCGCTTAACAAAAGTCAGTTAATGTCAATTGAGCCAGGTGGGTAATTTACCAACTAGTGGCTGCATCCTATCAAAACTCAGTCACTATACATCACCATTGTATTCAGCCATCTGAATACAATAGCTGGCAGTGGGCGACTCCTCCCTCCTTGCTGTTAGCATGATTATGGGAGAGTTTTCCTGTGGGCCCTGCTGAACCAAAAAAATAAATAATATGTATGGAAGTAGATGTTAGAGGAATTCATTCCAAGGGGTCAAGCACTGACCCATTTTCTAAAGCATAAGCAATTAGTTTTGGATTGAGTTTGGCTTTAAATGAAAAAAAAAACTGATCGTAATGTTCTCCTTCACTACATTGTAAATTAGATGAACATGTTTATCAAGCGCTTCCTCAGTTTGGAGATTCCCAAACATGCCATAGCCAATCTTTCTGAAAATGCTAGTTTCATGGTGTCAGACAGACTTAACCAAGTATGGAGACCTGGTGACACCTTGTTGAAAGTTTTTACCCTAGGTTAGGTACAATATGGAAGCTAGTAACAGGTAATTGTTCATCATGTTCTGTATTTCATTAAAATTAAGCCAACAGCTATTTTAAAAGGTCTATATATTAAAATGTAGACTACACTAGGGTTGGCACTCCTGCTTCACTACAAGCAAGTCATTGATACAGAACATGTAGCAAGTGAAGCAACTCTTAAACCTATACAGTACACTTTCCAGGGCAGCAACAGAAGAGGATGAGAGTGAATACAAAGTTTCCAAGTTCAGAATTTGTTAGCCTACTCCATATTTCTATTCTTGCTGTTTCTACATTTTAGAGGTAAAGTAGGCAGGAAAGATTAAACAATGTACTATAGCAGTTTGAAATTTGTAAATATTTATAGCTTTAATGGCTCTCAGTAACACACTAATCCTTATAAACAGCCAGCAGCTTTTTTCCTTCATAAACAACTGATTTTGTCCAACTTTATTTGGCAGTGATCCAGTAACCAAGTGATTACAAGAACGTGACTGACATTTGATTCAGGGCGTATATGGTGGAGGCTGAGCTTCTTCAGAGATCTTCTCATATGCTGGTGGAGCTCCTGGAACCTACAATATCAAAACGTTGTTACTTAACTGACCTGTTAATTCTTAGGTCCCACTTCTGTACATATTCAAAGGTTGAGCATCAAGAAAATGCATTTTCACACAATTATCCCCCCCCCCCCCCCCCCCCCCAATAGAAGCCCACACAGCCAAGGTCTAGTCAAGCACCATAAAGTACCAGACTGAGAGAAAAGCACATCAAGGAAGCACCAAGCTGAATATACTGCGTATTTCACACAGATGTGAACCCTTTGGAAAAAACATTTGGTAAGAATTTTAGTAGGAAAAAAAAAACCCACAAGCCCACATATCCACTCAGATATCTGCTGGTCACCATGCAGTGTTTTATGAATGGGGTGCAAAATGAAGCCCATTTCCTACACTGTGGGCGACAGTGTAGAATCTGCAACATCCCATGGAGCTCTTGTCAGAGCCTGTAGTGTCTCAGGGTTCTCAGCTTAAAGCTGCCAAGCCAATAGGAATAAATAAAATGAAAAAGGACCACTTATTAGCATTTTAGTCCTTTTCTCTAAATATTGGGGACCTTAATATTGTTCCTTTACCACACCAAAGTGTTCACCAGCAAAATAAAACATGGATGCAGACTAAAGGTTTTCAGTGGGACACCATCTGCACCTTTTTGTAATTCTAGCTCAAGTACTCTTTTTTGCTCTAATATAGGAGGTAGGTTTCACATGGGACTGTATGCTGCCTGGATTGGTATAAAATGTCAGCATTACTAACACTATTGGAAGAAAAGGTGTTCAAATCCTCTGCAACAGATTAGGAACCACTATTACAGTTTGAAAAGATGTACACAAATACTTAAAATGATCTTTCATGAAGAGCACCAGTGCCTTGCCACATTCTAGTGCAGTTCGGTTCACAATGTTATGCTTCTAGCATGGTGTCATTACAAAATATATTTTCACAAAAATGAATCATAAAAATAGACTAGTTCAAATATAGCGAAATGTTGCAAGCAAAAAGTAAGCACTTCAACAGTAGCCTTTTTCAACCAAGGTGCCCAAGCACCCTGGAGTGCCTTGGCAATATGCCTAAAAAATTGGGCAGAAATTGTGTACAAGCCAGCAGGTGGATCAAGCCTGCCTTTTAGTACACAAAGCCATAGGTTTTCATTGTGCACCCTTATGATCTTCTAGCTGCCAGCAACCTAACACCCAAAGCAGTCATCAGTTGATGAGGATGTTAGGTGCCTGCACAGCATCCTTTTTGCCCTCTTCATCAGCACTGAGGTCACATAAGCCGAGTGAGGGTGAAACAATCTGCCAGTACTAGTGTGCAAAGGTAGATTTGCTTTGGAAGAAAAAATGCAATGTCACAAGTATTTAATCACATTACACATACGGTTTAGATATTAAGAAGCAGATGAAAGTTACAAAGAACTTACAATGTTCAGGGTGTTGTAATCCTGTAATGGTACTTTACACTCTGCAGACTCTCTTGTTCCAGCCATCATAGCTCGGATCGCAGAAGGGCGAAACTGCTGAGTCTTGTAAACAAAAACCAGTGAACAAATGTTAAAAACTGTAGTACAAAAGCCTCTGTACATGAATAGGAAAAGTTCTTACCCCAAGTATTTTATAGCCACTCCTTCTCTTAAAGTACCAACATCCAATAATTAGAACAAGTGCAACTATGATGGCAAGAATGGTAATGCCAGCAGTCCTAAGAAAAAAAACAAAACAATTTTAGCATAAATAACTTCCATATCAAAGCATCATTATGGATAAAAAAAAAACCCAAAGACATTAGACCCCCCCCCCCCCCCCCCCCCACAACATGGCAACTCAATTTCTAAAATTCTTCCAAGACAAAAAGTTGTAGTTCAAGATCCAAAGTTGTTAATTTTATCCTCAAAAACACTCAACACTAAAATCTTGAGGGAAGTTGGCTTGAAGCCTATACAAAAACTATTGAATTAAACATTGTGCGTTTTTGATCACCTCTTGTTGCTGTGGGATTAATGCCCTCAATATTACTCTCCTGCAGCTCTGAGCCATTGAAATTTTGGGAAGTCGATTTTGTATATGCCAAGAAAAGTGTCATTTTGGGAACAGGAAACTACCTTTTTGTCTGCCAACATATCCAGTATAGTGCAATTCAGATCTGAATAGTAGATCTCTACTAAGCTGTATCCCACAGAATGGACATTTGAGGCCACATCCTCTTACCAGGTTTAAACTAGAAGGCTCTTCTGGGGATATTATGTATAGAAAATAAATCACACATATCTACAGAAAAAAAAAAAAAAAAAAAAAAAATTGAGGTCAATTGCTTCATTAATGATTTTTAATACTGCTTGGTTTATTTTAAAAAGGTTTAATGTATAAATTGGTGGTTTAAAGAATATATATGATTTTATTTATGTAAACATGTGGTATGGGTGTACACAGGAGTTCTCCATTAGATTATGTTTTATTAATATTGTATTAAATTATGTGGAATCAGTTGCTTAATTAACTTACAATTAATATTAAATTTCAAATTTTAAAATTAATTAGGTTTTATTATAATTGCAAATATATTTAATTAATGTTCTAATAAATAGTGGCGGTTACAGGTCTTTAAATACAGTTGTGTCCAAAAGATCTTATTCAAGCCCCAATGCTTTTGTAAAAGTGGCGTTTAGGGACTATAGTGTACATTTGGAATTGTATTCAGAATCAAATCTACTACAGGAGGGAAGCTAGGATCGTTGTAACTACCCAAATGCAACTAAAATGACATCAATTGTTTATGTAATAACAGACAAGTTAATGGTTCTTATGTGTTTCTTCATTCCCCCCGCACACAATTATTCAACCCCTTAAAGACTACCACTCTGAAGAACAGAGGTTCATACAGGTGCTTTCCATCGCAGGTATTGAGAAAACACCTGTGGATGTCACCGGGGGGTGCGAGCAGCAATCAAGCAATAATAAGCACCAATTAGGCAGCTTTAAAATGACTGTGATACTCAGCTCCTTCTAGACATTTACTGCGTGTGTGGTTTACAAACATGGTGAAGGCAAAGAGAATGGTCCAGGAAAGACAAGAGAAGAGGTGATTTCTCTTTCACAGGAAGGGGCAATGGGCTATAAGAAGATTGCAAAGATGTTAAACATACCAAGAGACACCTTAGGAAGCATCATTCGCAAAATTCAAGGCAAAGGGCACTGTTGAAACGCTACCTGGTCGTGGCAGAAAGAAGATGCTGACTTCGACTGCTGTGCGCTACCTGAAGCGTAGAGTGGAGAGAAGATCCCCGTGTGACTGCTGAGGAACTGAGAAAAAGATTTGTCAGATGTGGGTACAGAAGTTTCAGCCCAGACAATAAGACGCACACTGCGTAATGAAGGCCTCCGTGCCAGAACTCCCAGGCGTAACCCCCTTGCTGTCTCCAAAGAATAAGAAGAGTCGACTGCAGTATGCCAAAAGCCATGTGGACAAACCACAAAAGTTGTGGGATAGTGTTCTGTGGACTGATGAAACAAAATTAGAACTGTTTGGGCCCATGGATCAACGCTATGTTTGGAGGAGGAAGGAAGAACAAGGCCTATGATGAAAAGAACACCTTGCCTACTGTGAAAGCATGGTGGAGGGTCAATCATGCTTTGGGGGCTGTTTTGCTTCTGCAGGTACAGGGAAGCTTCAGCGTCGTGTGCAAAGGTAACACCATGAATTCTCTTCAGTACCAGGAGATATTGGATGGAAACGTGATGCAGTCCGTCACACACACCACCCTGAGGCTTGGGAGAACGTTGGACCTTTTCAACAGGACAATGATCCCAAGCATACCTCCAAGTCCACTAGAGCATGGTTGCAGAGGAAAGGCTGGAACATTTTGGAGTGGCCATCGCAGTCACCAGACTTAAATCCGATTGAGAAACCTCTGGTGGGACTTAAAGAAAGCAGTTGCAGTGCGCAAGCCTAAGAATGTGACTGAACTGGAGGGCCTTTTGCCCATGAAGAATGGGCGAAGATACCCGTAGATCGCTGCAAGAGACACTTGTGTCAAGCTATGTGCTTCAAGGGATTTGACGTTTAAAACTAGCTGTTATAACTGTTAAAAGGATGCTGTACTAAGTACTAAGATTGAATGTCACATTGGGGGTTGAATAAAAATATGATAATGCTGTGAGCACAGTAAAAGACATTTGTGGTTATTTCATTATAACTGTTATGTTATATTTGTCTGACCTACAAGTGCCTCTTTAATGTAAATGTAAGCAATAGATGACTGAATGATCAAAAAGCAATGTCAAACTGGCCAAAACACTCAATTTCAGTGGGGGTTTGAATAATTTTGGACACAACTGTATATTCTCTAATGTGTGGAAGCGGAGGTATTTTCTGTAGAAATGTGTGTGATTTATTTCTATACATATATCTATCAATCCCTTTGTTATATATATATATATATATATATTATATATATATATATTTATAGTGAGTATATATATATATAATTTATTTAAATATATTTTTAATATTTTAAAATGAATTTAGATTTGTCTAAAAGTATTTTTATAAATTAAGGATAGTCAATATAATCAGTTTAGGAATAGCAGAGAAGGTATAATGGGAAACCAGGGGAAGTTGGGTGGCGGCACATGGCCGTTCATGTATATCGGGCTCCAAGAAAATGGAGGTAATACACGCCCTTGTAAATTATCCTAGAGAGTTTAAAAGGAAGTTCTGTCATCAAAATGCGGCATCCTGAGAAGCCACGTGATCGTGGCGCAACGCGTCGACGCATTTCCGGTCATAGGGGTGACGTACTTCCGGTTTCGGGTTCGGACACCATCTTTGTACACCTGAGTATACCCATAGCACAGGGGAAAAGCTTCTCTCTGTTGGAGGATATGTGAGTGCGATTTGTTTTTTTATCTTTAAGTGCATTAAAACAGATGTTGCACTATGGAGGTCTGTCTTTGTCTTGCATATACGCCCTGTGTTTGAGTCCCATATTGTTGAGGGAAGTGATCTGAGAGGAATTCATGCTTGGGAGGAGGATGTCTTAATTAAGTCGGTGTGAGTATGAAAAAATAATGATAGAGAGATAGAGAGGAGATATATATACATAATAAATAGAGCTTTGTGACCCGCAAGGGTCGAATGTGTGGAAGGTGAGGGTGGCATTTTTGGCTAAATATTCAGGGGATCACATCAGAGTATACGAATGTGCACAATTGCCAGCATGGAGGTGAAGTTATATAACCACCGTGTACTGAAACACTTTTATTATTTTTGCACAGTGTGGCATCACAAGTTTTTCTGAATTGATTTTGAAATTTGTTTTCTTAATATTAATGTGGATTAATATTTATCACTTTGCACAGTTTTAAAGTGTTATTAACTGGTTGATATACTACACAATCACTTTGTTTTCCACTAGGGGGCTGTAGTAAGAGTTTGTGTACTGTGGCATTATGAGGGGGGTATTTTGCACTAGTTACCTTGGTTATATATTGTGATTGGGATGCCTGACTTAGTGAATTGAAGTTATCATGTTATATAAGCTTTGTAATTATATTTATTCAAGAATAATAATTTTGGAAGGAGGTAATTTTCACTTTATAACAAGTTGAGCACTTTCTTGATCATAATATACTATAATTATTATTTAACATCTACAGCTGTCAAAAGATGCCACTGTGCTACCTACATGCCAGATCATGGGGGTAAAAAAAAAAAAAAAAAAAAAAAAGTAAAACTAATGCAGCGCTACCACATCTATGTACACAACACTGTGCATTCTTACTGTGAATGCAGTTTTATATTTAACCACAAGATGGCAGGGTGTTTAGCATTCCTGTTCATTGTAGCCTCAAGAAAGCAGAGTTCCATCAGCTACCCAAAAACTGTCACTGCTGACTTTTTAAATAAACAGCCACTTACCTGTTCCCCCACAGCCCAATTTCACAATGGCCATCCTGTATTCCAGGAGGCCGGCATCTTCAGTGTGGGAACACTCGCGCTGTGACAGCTTGTGGCTTCACAAGCTGGGTACCCACTGCGCAATGCGTGAGTAGCACTGGGCTTCATCAATGGTCCTGTAGTCTTCTGGGACCTGTCATGTGTCCCAAAATAAACTACAGGGAGGGAGGACACCTTCTGTTTCCCTAGGCATACAGACCTCAGAAGTGGCAGCGGGTACCTGTCAAATTCACACACACACGCCAAATCCTTAATGGGGAGCAGTCCTTAAAGAGGAACTTCCCCTTTTGGGTGGAGCTCCGCTTTAATAGGCGTTTAGAGGCTGCTGGAAGTTGTATGCTGAAGACAGAATTTTCTGCACAGTAAAGCAGAAATTAAACTAACAGAGTCCAGGAGAGCAACTACTGGTGGGCAGGAGCATATAAGAAAGAGTTCTGGGGAAGTAGTAGGAGCAGAGTTTGAGACAGGCTTTTCCTGTGGAAGGAGTGTGGGGGTGGCTGCTCTTAAGAGCTATAATTCCTAAACCCTTCCTCCAATTTGGATGTATATACCCTCAAATTAAACCTGAGAGTGTGCACTTTCAACCCATATCCATTATACAACTATAGCTTGAATAGGATTTGGTAAATACCTGAAAAAAATAAAATTGTGCCTGTGTCCAAATATACATGGACCCAACTGTATGACTATTGCAGTTCGATGATATTTGCTTATCCTGGAGTTCAGTTTTAAAGCAATGCATGTTAACAATTGGGCAGTAACCTGTTACAACACAGTGTCACCAGACCCTGAAACCTTTGATCAAATTTAAGGACTGCTGCTGTAAACCTCCACTGAGTTTTGTATAATTCCTGCACTGGTCCTACAACCACTGTTATGGTGGGTGCATGTGCATACCACTGAAATTCATTTTATAATGCCATCAAAAGCCAACAATCACTGACCAGCACTACTACTCACTTAACCATGTCACAATAAGCAATATATGTATGTTACTCATACATACACAGGGCTGTTTTTCAGCAGGATGCAGTTCCATTACTGAATGTATGTAATGGTAAGGGTGTGTGCTGGAGGATCTATTGAAGCTGGCTACTGGGGGATTTATTGTCACTGGTGAGGATTTATTGTGTGAGGACCTATATTATTGCTGGGTTGTCTTATGTTGCTAGTAGGGATCTACTGTTGAGGGAAAGGTTGCTGGCAGGTCTGTTGCTGGTTGTGAAGTTTTTATGGGTGATCCATTGTTTGTGTGGGGGATCTATTGATGTAGAGATGGGGTCCATTTGCAGGTCAATTGTTTGAGGTTTTATAGTTGCTGGGGGATCCATTTTACTGCTTCTCATTATCCTTACAAATTTAGCACCACAAATTGATACTTTGTTCTGTATTCTCTAAAAGGGGAGGGACTGAGAAGTGGGAAGGTGGTGAAACCAAGGGACAGTGCTCAGAGAAAGGTAGGGGGCAGAGAGACAAGGGGGGGGGGGGGGGGGGACTAAGATATGGGGAGTTCCTGCACCCATTCTGAGACAAACAAAACACGCACACGGAAATCCTATAAAGTACACCACTTGTATAGTTAAGCATTGTCAAACATGTTCTTATATCATAATGCAGACTGATACAGCAAGGCTGAATACAGAACACTTTTTAATAGGCTAGATAAAAAAAAAAAAAAATCTACCACACAATTGTGGCCCCCCAAGGGCCATTTAAGAAAGCCATTTTAATGTTTATATAAAAAGCGGTGCAATTTTTGAGCCATAAATCTTTAATATACAGTATCATTGCACTAAAATTGCAGCACCACTGCAATAAAATTACATCGGCTTGCAAAACCAGAGAGAAGTATGAGAAGCCAAGAAATGCCCTATACTTTAAGAGATGTAATTAGTGTGCTAGAATCGAGCTGATCCAGACAAAATATATGCAATGCCTCAGTGGAGGTGGAGAAGTTGGAGACATTTCCTCTTCTTAGTATGCTGACTAGGACATTGGGATAAGAGCATTTTCCTTTAGTAGTTTTCAAGTATGAAACCAAGACACCGTATGAATCCAGTGTCTATCAATGATTTAGCAGCATATTAGTACTTTTTTTCAGCCTCTGCAATGCTTAAAGGCCAAGTTCACCTTTCAGGAAAGAAAAGCCCATATTTTAGCAGAAAGCCAAAATGTGCATTTTTTTTCCTCACCTACCAGCGTCTGCAAAGCATTGCATCTTCTTCATTGGATCACAGGAGCAATGTCAGGCTCTTGCAGACATACTGCAGCTTTCTCGTCCATACCTCCTTATGGGCTTTCAGTTAGAGGAGCTGTAGGAAGTGTCAGATATGAGGGCACTCAGCACCCTCGTAGTTCATTGAGAACTACAAACCATTTGCTACAGTGGAAGATGGGGCTTGTAGTTTACTTATTCACAGATCATGGTGAATGAATGGAATGGCTGTGCAGGCAGGGACCCCACAGCAACGCCAAATTTTATTGATAGTGGCAGGTGTAGTAATAAAAGGTGAACTTTGAAGTGTAGCCAAAGTTTTTCGCTTTGTTTTTTTAGTTGTCAGAATGGGGAAAGGCTAGAACCTCTGGCAGGGCTTACTGCTATATAGGAGAGATTTCTCCTCACTTTCTGTTCTGGGGACAGACAGGAAGTGAGGGGAAAAAAAAAAAAAAAGTTCTAGTATTCTGCTTCGAAAGAAGGAAACAAGAGGGAAAAAAAACCTTTATGAAGCTGCAACATTTGAGTTGTCACATAAAACCAAATTTGTCACCATTTGACTGTACATACCAAATAGGAAAGTATACAGTATATCATGATGCACTTTCCCCCTTTAACCACTAGAGGGGAAATTTACCATAGGCTTCAATTTAATATTGAATACTAGGCAATCCTGTTAAAGGTTTTCCCTGTACAGGCTTTTGGATAGATTACTTACAATGTGCCAAAATAATCAAGAGGCAGAAAAAAAACCCTCTAATAGCCAAGAATGTATTACACAAGTTATAATTAATGTGATGCTGAGCTTCCTACCAATTTCCACCGAAACAGCAGCTGTGTTTTTTATCTAATATAGATTAATTAATTTATGCTGCAATGTGCCATTTCACGCTGGGGCAATTTAGAGTACAAGTTATAGCTGTACCCTCTCCTGGGGAAAGGAGGGAGAACAGTAGAGAAGGCAATAAAGGTTATTAACAAGCTCATGGCTGAAATACTAGACATGCAATTGTGTGCACCTTAGGACTCATGCACACTTAAGCTTTAAAAAAAATAATAATAATTTGCTGCTTTTACAGGGGTTTGTGCTTTGTTTTCTCTGCCTTTAAATACCCCTTCATGATTACCTATAGTATGCATGGACATATAGATTACTATAGGAGTTTGGAGGCAGGGGAAAAAAAACAAAAACAAAAAAAAAAAAAAAAAAAAAAAAAGTAGTGAGGGTTGAATGAGAGTTTTGCCAGAAAACAAAACCGGACGTGCCCAAGTGTGCTTTAACACTAGGCACATTTAGCGCTTGAATGTGTAACTTTAGTGGCCACAAAAGTTGATATTCTGCCCAATGCAATTTAATTAGCGCTCAAGCAGAACAATTTATTTGTGGCCATTAAAGTTACACATTCAAGCATTGAATGTGCCTAGTGTTAATGCGCACTCAGGCATATCAGACTGCACTGAATGCATTTGGGGGAAAAAAAAAAAAAAAAAAACCCACAAAAACAAAAAAAACACCCATGCAACTTAGTGTTTTTGCAGTGGCTTTTCTCCTGCCGAGAGAAAAGCATTTAGAGGAGCCCCAGTGTGCATGAAGTCTTGGCCCTGCTTCACACCAAATGCAGCTTTGAACTAGCTGCTACTTCAGCTGAAGCGGCACTATTTCAAACCTGCCAGTCAGTGCAATTTCATGTGCAGCTTCCCCACATCTGCGCGACTTCATGAACGGATGTTAATGCAAGTCACACATTAAAAATCGGCAAAAAATAGCGCAGGAACCTTTTTTCAAAAATTGCAGCAAGTTGGAGTTGCACCGATTTGAATAGTTCCATAGGCACAAATAGGGTGCGACTTGTCATACGATTTTGAACTGTCAAATCGCATGACAAACAGCATTGATGTGCACGGGGGCTTAATCTGTTGCCTGTGCATATACCTGTAGCAGTGATTCAGGCAACTACACAGCCACCCAAACCCATTTAAATTCAAAATATAGAGACACAGTTTGCTCACAGCATTCAGTGCAGATGATCAGTAGCTCTATGATCAGGAGCCCCCCAATCCCCTTGTAAAGGGGGTAAAAACAAAGAAGTGTTCAGTTCTGATCACTTCCAGGTTCAAAGTCAATGCAGTAGCAAATGAAAGACCAAGGTTACCAGGTGAAGAGGACATCTATATCAGATTGCATTTCTATGTACTTTGATTTTAGTTTAAATTTTAAGATATAGTAAGTTTTTTTTTTTTTTTAAACAGTAAAGGCTGACTTTGGTTATAAAAAACCAAATTATGCACCATTTTGGGTGGTGCCCAAGAGTAACCACTATGCTACATAAACTGGTCACACACAGCAGTCGCATCAAAATCATATAAAGTACCTAAAATGGATATAGATAAAAACAGTTGTAAGACCAAATTGAACAACCCTAACCCACAAAATCTTAAAATCCAAAATGACAAAATCCAAAACCCCCTCCACTTAGCTTGAGAGGCATTTATTAGCAACACATTCTATATCTTTATTGGGTGGAACCAGGCTAGAGGGTGAAGCTTATTCAGAAAATGACATGCTGTGGGGAAACAAAACAGCACTTACTCTTCCACACTGAGCCCATGTGGTCTGCCTCTGCCAGAGCTGTACACCCCAAGACCATTTGCTGAACCAGGACGGGGCATTCTCCAGGGTTCGCACAACCAGCTTTCACTGAAACGTGAGAACAAAGAGCTGTTTAAACCCATAACTTATGTCACACTATCACATCCTCAGGCTGCCTCTGACCCCACACCTATATACCCTTCCAGCTTCTAATTAGCGCTTAAGGGTTTATTAACTCATTCATTGAGGAATTTATTCAGCATAAGTATGCCTAAACTGTGAGTCTGAACTGATAAGGGCCCTTATACAATTTATTCTTGGCTTTTAGATGCTAGTTTGAAACGGGCTTACTTTTTTTCGTGCGTTCTCCTGGGGCATAATACACACTTATATTGAAGGTATACACATGAACAGTCAAAACTACATAAGCTGTTCAGGCGACCTTTAAGTATTAAATTGCTGAAAAAAAAAAATTTCAGCATTATTATTTTTTGTAGTGATATATTAAAAAGGTCCATAGGAATATAAGGCATGATAACTTGATGTAACACACACTATCACACAACATACTGCATTGTGAAAGCAGACTTTTATTCATTTCTTTAATATGTTTAAAGCATCCTTTCGTAACATTTGTGCTCTAGAGCAGGGGTGTCAAACTGCGGCCCTCCAGCTGTTGCGGAACTACAAATCCCATGAGGCATTGCAGGACTGACAGTTGAAAGCATGACACCCAAAGGCCGAGGCAAGATGGGGCTTGTAGTTTCTCAACAGCTGGAAGGCCACAGTTTGACACCTGTGCCCTATAGGAACCCTTGAAATAAATTTCATGTCTCAGGGAACTCCTGCTAAGGGGGGGTCATTAGGAAATGCATGGGGGTCATTAGGAAAATGTTCCTTACAGTGGTGGTTAGAATGCTTTACAGACAACTAAAAAAAAAAAAAAAACACTTTGTCAAGCTACTGTATTTAGCTCCATCAATCTTCCCATCAACTCTGACCAGCTTCCATATCCCTGCTGAAGAAAGGCATCCCCGCAACATGATGCTGCCACCACCATGTTCGATGGGGATGGTGTGTTCAGGGTGATGTGCCGTTTTAGTTTTCTGCCACATACAGCGTTTTACTTTTAGGCCAAAAAGTTAAATTTTGGTCTCATCCAGGGGTGGACTGACAACTCATGGGGCCCCCGGGCAATAGGGGATCATGGGGCCCCTGTGTCCTTGCCCAAACTCAAAAAAGCCTATGAAAAAGGTACCAGGGGCATCTCATGGGGCCCCTTACTGACCCCGGCCCCTCGGGCCCAAGTTTCCAAAGGGTCAGTCTGCCCCTGGTCTCATCTGACCAGAGCACCTTCTTCCACATGTTTGCTGGGTCCCCGCATGGCTTCTTGCAAACTGCTAACTGGACTTCTTATGGCTTTTTTTCAACAATGGTTTTCTTCTTGCCACTCTTCCATAAAGGCCAGATTTGTGGAGTGCACAACTAATAGTTGTTCTGTGGACAGATTCTCCTACCTGAGCTGTGGATCTCTGAACCTCCTCCAGAGTTTACCATAGGCCTCTTGGCTGCTTCTCTGATTAATGCTCTCCTCGCACAGCCTGTCAGTTTAGGTGGACGGCCATGTCTTGGTAGGTTTGTAGTTGTGCCATTCTCTTTCCAATTTTGGATGATGGATTGAACAGTGCTCCTTGAGATGTTCAAAGCTTGAGATATTTTTTCATCCCCAATCATTCCATTTCTCCCACCCTGCTGTGTGCTCTTCAGTACCCAACTCCTCCCCCCATCCTACGCACCAATACGAGAAGATGGGAACGAGGCTGGATTTGCTCTGCCTGCCTCTGTGCCCACCCACACTCAAGTCTGTGAAGCTTCAGAGGATGTGTGGGTGGGAAATTGTACACAGAGCAGCCAACAGCTCTGATGCATCTGACTGAGTCATGTGAGTCTGACCTCCTTACTTCCTTCCACCCACGCCTCCCTTCCTTCCTTCCTTCCGCCCACCCCTTCCTCCCTTCCACTCCTTTCTTCCAACCTTCTCTTCCTTCCTTCCACCCACCCTTGCCTCCCTTCCTTCCTTCCCTCCCTTCCACCCCCCCTCCCTTCCTTCCTTCCACCCACCCTTCCCTCCCTTCCTTCCCACCCTTCCCTCCCTCCTTCCTTCCACCCTTCCTCCCTTCCTTCCTTCATTCCACCCTCCCTTCCACCCCTTCCTTCCTTCCACCCATCCTTCCCTCCCTTCCTTCCACCCACCTCTTCCTTCCACCCCTCCCTTCCCTCCCTTCCTTCCACCCTTTCCTTCCTTCCTTCCTTCCTTCCTTCCTTCCTTCCTTCCACCCACCCCCTTCCTTCCTTCCTTATACCCCTCCCTTCTTTCCATCCCCCTGCCTTTCCTTCACCCTTCCTTCCACCCCTCCCTCCCTTCCTTCACCCTGCCCTCCTTCCTAACCTACCTCCACCCCTTCCACCCCTCTTCAACCCCTCCCTCCCCTTCCTTCCTTCCACTCCCCCTCCCTTCCTTCCTCTCCTTCCTTCCACCCCTCCCTCCCTTCCACCACTTCTTTCCTCCCCTCCCTTCCTTTTCACTCCACCCTCCCTCCCTCCCTCCCACCCTTCCTTCCTTCCTTCCTTCCCTTCCTTCCCTTCCTGCCTTCCTTCTCTCCTTCCACCCCTACCTCCCTTCCTTCACCTTTCCATCCCACCCTTCCTTCCCTCCCTCCCTCCCTTCCTTCCCACACCTCCCTCCATTCCTCCCTTCCTTCCACCTCTCCCTCCCTTTCTTCCAGACCTTTCTTCCTTCCACTCCTCCCTCCCTTCCTCCACACACCCTCCCTCCCTTCCACCCTCCATCCCCCCCTTCCTTCCCTCCCACCCTTTCTTCCTTCCACCTCTCCCTCCCTTCCTTCCCCCACCTTTCCTTCCCACCCCTCCTTTATTTCCTTCCACCCTATCCTCCCTGTCTTCCTTCCTTCCACCCTTCCACCCCCTTCCTTCCTTCCTTCCACCCCACCCCTCCCTCCCTTCCTTCCCCCATACCTCCCTCCCTCCATTCCTTCCTTTCTTCCACCCCTTCCTTCCTTCCTTCCTGCCTTCCTTCCACACCTCCCACCCTTCCTTCCATTCCTCCCCTTCCTTCCTTCCTTCCTTCCTTCCTTCCTTCCTTCCTTCCACCCCCTCCCGCCCTTCATTCGACATAAAACATTTAACAGTGCCATTTCATGAGATAATTTAAGAGGGCATGTTTATGTTAAGTGGGGCAACTGGTGGCGAGTGACTCTTAAGTCCTGGCTAGTAGCTCAGGACTTGAAATTTTGAGCCCTGACTTACAGTATCTATATATTGCTGCTGCAGATGAATTTTGCAGAGCCTATAACACAGTAAACACAGGTATTCACATCAGTCCCTGCCCTTAGAGGAGCTCACAGTCATATATCCCTACTACATATGTACACACAGGCCAATAAAACGGGAAGCCAAAAATCTACAAGTGTTTTTTAATTGTAATGTGTGTTGAAGTACACACAAATGTATATGGAATGTAAGGAACAAACAGTTTATAAAGTGTGAGCTAGAGTTTGGCTTCAATTAGTCACTGTTTTTAAATCTGCTAATACATTTAACACCCCCCCCCCCCACTCAACTGATGACAATGCTGCTGTCTGCTGTGCCTCCTGTGCTCATGCATCCAGACTGGTGTCTCACTAATACCGAAGGTATGTTACTGGCCAGACTATCAGTTGAAAACTGAGGGAAATGGCTAACGAAAAGAAAAACTGATGCAGCCACCACATCTAATGATTGGTAAGCTGCAAAATACTACATTTTGGTTTTGAGTTTAATATAATTTTAATAAATGCTGCAATTAATAAATATGAGTAAAGCTCTGTACACATGGACCAAATATCAGACTAAATCAGCCGGCCGACATTCGACACGTGTGTATAGGTGCCGATCTTACTGTTTCTGTCGAACGAGAATGCAAGAAAACCAGCATCTGATCAGCATCCAATCAGTGCTCTCATCCAATGGCTGTAAGTGCTGACCCGGTGTGTTCTGGCTGGGAGGCAATCCCGCTGTCAGAACACAATAGCACAATGAGAGAGATCACTGTACTAACATTGAATTTTTAGCACAGAGATCTCATCAGCTGCTCAGTTTTACAGACTTACCATGTGTACTAGGTATAAAACAATGACTGTGTTTTATATGAATTATTATTTTATTTATTACTTTTTTATATAATTCAGATGAATTTTGCAGAACCTAACACAGTACAATACAGCTAGTCACATCAGTCCCTGCCCCTAGAGAAACTCTCTATTACATAGACACACAGGCCAATTTTAAGTGAAGCCAATTAATCTACCAATGCTTTTTTTGCCAGATGAAATACACAAATACACACAGAGAATGTATAAATTCAACAAAGCGTGTTCCCAGTGAGAACTGAAGCTAAAAGAATGCTGAGAGGCAAGAGTGCTAACCTCTTATTAAGAAATGCTACATTTAATAAATACCAGCAAGACATAGAAATACAAATACTGTCAGCTGAACAATAAAACTATTATAAAACGCAATTTTTTTTTAATAAAAATGCAACAATACTTGTATATTATTCTCTGTATTTATAAATTATTCTTTTTAAACTAAAGCAAATTCATAAAAAAAAATGTACACAGTGCAAGTATTGTGTTTAAAACAACTTCATAATTTGCACAAATTATATTGAGTTTGCAGCAGAACAATGTCACTAAAATAGATCTTTTCTTTTATGGACAATTATGTTGTTTGCAGTTCCCATTCTTCGAAAATTGCCCTACACTGTTAGAAAATTAGCATAATATCTGTAGTAAATCAAATTAAGTGTTCAGTTTTGATAGCAAGCAATGTGTAAAGGGATTTTGTCCAAGGCTCAGTTGCTCTAAATGTTTTCTGGTTCCAGTTAATTAAGAAGGCAATTTATTCTGAATGTTTAGATTTAGAGTTACTGTTTTTTTTTAAATAAAATTGCTTTCACAAGAATTACAATTAGATTTGCCAATGAACAGAAAAAGTTGCATGGACTCACCTCGCAATGGAT